TTTACTATTTCTGAGTACCTTTATGCAAGTCACATTGGCTTCCAGTTCAAAATGGTACTATCGGACAATTATAGTAATGGTTTATACTAATGTCTTTTGGCATATGGAAGAGCTAAAATACTAATCCTGATTCAATACCTTTGTTATTTACAATTAACACTTGGAGCCATCAGTCACATAGTTTAAGTGTTAAATGTAAATTGAGAAAAGTTGGCATGTAATGTATGGATAATTAAATATATTATGATGAATCGTTATAATAATAGCTAAGATAATCTTCGATTCAGGATATAGCAGACCTGCTGATGGCAGAAACAGTGGGAGGGATTAATTTGGTGAGTCATGCCAGTTTCAGCGTTATAGCAGATCAAACAGAGAGAGAAAAAAAGAGTCAGCCGGGTGAAGTGAAGTTTTAGCTGGCTCAGGTCACCGACTCACTGCCTGCCAGTAGAGGAGGAGCAGCACAGCAGGGGGATGGAGCCCAGCCGAGTTGGTGAGCAGAGGAGGGGAGCTAAGGCCTACGTGGCTCGGGGTAGAGGAGTTTGGCGGCAGTGGCGTCTTGTGCTGGCTGACGACGGGAACGGTTGGCGCGCAGGGCCGGCACCGGTGCCTGGCCCGTCTGGAAGGTTAGACACATCCATCCTAAGGAAGGAAGCACAAGACCTGTTAGAAGCACAAGAGAGAGCGAGGAGAAGGGCAGAGGAAACAGGAAGGAGGAAAGACTTCTGGAGAGGTTAGAGAGGCTTTAAAAGGGCTGGCATGGTGAAGTCTGACAGTTTTTGGCTTTGAAGGTGCAGTACTCATGATTTCTTGTGAACCAGACGAAAGATTGCCTGCTTTAAAAACATCATTTTAACCTTTTAAAAAGTCAGATCGTATTTTGTTGGTCATAAAGAAGGTTTGAAGGAAACCGTGTTCAACATGGCTGGGTATCAAACGGCACTGAATACTTATCAGAGTCGTTTCTCTTGTCAGACACCAGGGTTTTAACATGTCTGTTTGCTTTTTGATGAAGCACTCGAGTAAGAAGAGGAGGCTTGTTAAGGTTGAATTTTATTTGGATTGTGTTACAACCGATCGCAGATGATTACTGACACCTGAGATCTGATCAGCAATGTTGAACCAGCCCCTCCAGATGTGATCAGTCTGACTGTTATATGCTCTGCTAGCATTTACATCTGCATTACATGAGCTATCTGTTCTATTCCAGATAATACCAGATAAGATCATATGTTGATACCCAGTTTGAAGTCATATTTCCGATTTAAAATAATTTATATAATCTAGAACGTTTTTGTACTTCTTATCGTTTTTGGCGAAAGAGGGACAAGCCGCATGGAAGAGATACAGAGAGATTTTGTTTCATCTTAAAGAGCATCGTATGGTAGGGTTGACATTTTAACATAATCCATCTTACCCATAGGAGTAACCTTACCAGTGGCCATTCTGTCTTGCAAGCAGAAGCACATTATAATCAAGCTGATCAGAAGTGGCGCACCAAGACACAGAAGAAAGTAGGACTTGAAACAAAGACGAGAAGCAGTGGATGTGGCGAGAGATCCGGAGTCGGGAGACGAGGAGGAAAGTTCTGGAGAAGAGCATTCAGACAGAGAGAAAGGCTGTCATTTAGTTAGCGAAAGCAAATTGACAATTCTAGAAAGAAGGCTCCAACAGACGAAGGGATGGAAGGAAGACGGAACAATGAATAGAAGAGGCTTTTGAATCAGGCTGAAGCATTTGAGAGAGAATTGTGTCACTTGGCAACGACTTGATAAAGTTAGGAGCGAGGTGCTGCTTGTACCAATTATTCCCCACTGTGTTTCAGAACTGTTGAGCAGCGTTGAGCGCACAGAACGCTGCCACCCAGGATTAAGAGAGGAGGAGGACAGAGAGAGCGTGGAGAGATAAGAACCTAATTACCTTGAGCGTTAAGTCGTTGCCACCTCCCCCATCCGTCTCGCACCATCCCCTCCCATCCGCCACGGAGCCCGATGACAGGCCTGAGTCGTGTGACCAAGATACACAGGCATGAGACACCAAAGGAGAGAGCTCTCCTCTTCTTCTTTAGCAATCCCGAGTCTGACCTGACCTTCCGACGCGAACCCAAGACTCGCCGCGGGACGCAGCCTTCTGTTCAGGTTTCCCTCACTCGGCATCATTCTTCTTTCACAGCACTCCTTGCGGGCTTCACTGAGGCACGTGAAGGTTCACTCTCCTCTCCTGCAGCTTCCTAAATCAGCCCCGGTTTCCACTGGAATGAACGCACGAACCGGCTGCACCCACCAGCCCCTGCCTTCGATCCCCCTTAGGTACTACCTCCGATTGCACGACTGACTTAATCCCCAGCAGATTGCAGATTTCCAAGTTGTCTCGAATTTGCAGATGTTTCCCACCAGACCATTTCATCTTATTATCAGCAGCACGTGCGAATAAAGGCAAGCTCAAGGCTCTCGAGCGGTGTGTCACCCTGCCATACTGCTCCGTTTACTTAAAGGAGGCACTCACAAAACGGTGTGTTTTGAAATCATCTCTACCTACGCCCTGACTGACTGTACTTCCTTCTTGACTGTAGCATGGACACCTCACCGAGCCGGAGTCTCGCCACACTGCAATTATTATGTGGCAGGGACTCACTATAACTGTCGAGGATTCATCAATTCCTTATTTTTCAAAAACATCAAATCTGGTAATCGAGGCATCGACCCTCCTTCACACCCGCCTTCACTTTAATTTAACAGTAT